CACACACACACACACACACACACACACACACACAGATGAGCCAGCAAGATGTGTAGACAAGTGAGATAAAGTGATTAGGCCCAAGCACAAAGCCCTGATGCATCCCCAATATCCAGTCGCATGCTTTTAAACTCACTCTGACTACAGTGGGAGCAAAAAAGAAAAAAAGATGAAGAGAAACACGCCCGGTGAGCTCTAATCTTTTGTAAAATGACTTTACACTGTACAATCTCACACAGACACACACATGTACTTCTCCACACGCTGGGATTGCAATATCCAGATGGAACTGCAGCTGTCAGTACTCTAGGGGTTGGCTCAATTAAGTCTCTGTTGTGAAACTAGTATTATGGGAAGGCATCAAAACAAAGCAATTGTCGGGATATACAAACAAGCGAGCCACCGGCAGGCCTTAGCCTTAGGTTGGGGTCAGGGGAGTGAGCTTTGAATGGAAAACGGCATTCTTTCATATGTATCTGGTTTCACATTTAGATCATGGCCGGTTTGTTTTGGCTCTCTCCCGCTGGAATTCTTTCTAGGCCTGAGGACTATAGACAGTTTTCTCTGGACAGGCAAATCCCTCAGTGAGAGACACGGCTATACTGTCCTCCTCCATCCTCAGTGACAGAGACGATAAGCAGGACAAGGGGGAGGTGGAAAAAAGGCAATCGTTCTGTATATGATACTGTGTTATTTTCGTGAAACTTAAAAAATGAAGACAACAGTTTGCGACGTGTCTTTTTTGGAGTTTAACTAATTTATTGTCTCATTTAAATGTCTTGACTAAAATGGCAAGTTTCCATGGCTAAATATCTGCCATTATTTTAACAATTACCTGTATGGTAAAGGTTTCTATTTAAAAAAAATTCTGCTCTTTTGAACTTTCTAGTTATCAGAATTCTGGAAAATGTATCATGGTTTCCACAAAAATATTAAGAAGCACAGTTTTCAACATATAATAATAAGAAATGTTTCAGCATATTAGAATAATTTCTGAACGATCATGTGACACTGAAGACTGGAATAATGGCTGCTGAAAATACAGCTTTGCCATGACAGGAATAAAATAATTTTTAAAAATATATTACAATAGAAAATCGTTCTTTTAAACTGTAGTAATATTTCGGTTACTTTAGTTTTTGATCAAATACATGCAGCCTTGGTGAGCATAAGAGACTACTTTCAAACTAAAATCTTACTGACCCCAAACTTTTGAAAGGTAGTGTATTTGGTATAAATAATTATACAAATGGTTTCAATATTATGTACTTCATCTTGTGTTTTCACAATGAGAATTGTACAATGAGAAATGCAGTGTTAGTTGTCTTGAATTACTGACAGCCTCACATGAATATTCATCACACACTTATGAGACAAACAAGGCTCATAAAATACCTAAAAATGCCACTCACAGACAATAAGACTTTGACTAGGGTATCAATCAACTAACTGATCATTTTGAGTAAAACACATCCTGATGTCATAAGACAGTAAACCTTACAACAAAATCAACAACAGTGTAAATTAGACTGGTATCCATCTAGATATCCACAAATACACACACACACACACACACAGACTTATGGAGGGGATAGCATTTTAAAGGTGCCGACTTACAGGGAACTTTAAATAAGAGCTAAAAACTTGCAAGAGGCATCGAATCCATGGTCCTTCTGATGATTTCTTTTGATATGGATTAATTTTGGTTTAAAGGGGTCATATGATGCGATTTCAAGTTTTCCTTTCTCTTTGGAGTGTTACAAGCTCTTGGTGCATAAAGAAGATCTGTAAAGTTGCAAAGACTAAAGTCTCAAATCCAAAGAGATATTCTTTATAAAAGTTAAGAGTCAGCCACACCTACCTAAAACGGCTCGTGCAATTCAAACACATGTTTTAAAGCTTCTCATAAAACATCAACCAGTTGTGGTAGATGTTTTTTTTTCTTATTATTTCTGAGTTTGATCCAGATTGACGCTGGCGATAACTGGCGCATGAAAAGAACAGGGAGCACAGGCGTAAAGAGATCGGGGAAAGAAGACCAGCAAATAACAGGCACAAGAGGGAGTCACCCACCCTCTGGCAGATTATAAGCTCTGTGCCCCCATTTCATTTCACCATCATTATGATCTGCCAGTGTTTAATCACTTCTCATTAAAGCAAGATCAGCTGTGATGTTTCCCTTCTGCCCTCTTGGCTAATCCTCAGACCTCTGAACTTTTTTTATATATACGCTCTGTCTCACCAGCTCTCACTCACTGCTCATCCTCTGCTCCAATTTAGCCCTCCTAATCCCAAAATTTATTCTGATACAGAGACAAATGGGCTTCTAATACCTAATAGCCCTGCACACAGCTCCGTAAACACATCAGCTAGGCCTTCCTAATAAAGCGGTGACGGCCAAAGTCATGCCACTTTAGTAAAATTAGGCTCTGAATGAAGAGGTCCATGTTTGAGACCTTCATCCAGACTTCCCCAAAACGTTTCAACGAGATAAACAATTAATGCATCATCTTATATTTCATACACTGGCTATTTTAAATCTTGTGCTGGGACTGAGAGATGTTGTTTTTGTCTCTTTCTGTTACTGTATGGTTGGGGCTGTAATTGCCCTGTGACAGACCCCAGAACTTCAGCGTTGGAAATGTTCAATTGGCTGCTCCTTAAAGAGTGAGGACGGACCACACACTTGGAGAAGATTTGAATATTTGTGGCATCTTTATGTCCCGGTTTTGACTCGTAGGGTGAATTAAGTGTCCTAGCTTTCCAGTCATATCCTTTGAAGCAGAATAGAAGCAGAATAATGTATCTTCTGTGGAAACACATTTTCTTCTCAAATGTTCTGTGTGAGTGAGTATAGAAGACCAGATGTACATGTTTTACAATCACATTATTCTTGAGCTCTTACCTGTTTTGCTGGGGTCAGTATCAGAGATGGCCGGTAAGGGTCCCGTAGGTGAGGGTGACGAGACGGGTCTGGGAGGAGGTTTGTCACTCTCTTGTGGGCGGCTCTTGGAGGTCTCAATGCCTTTGACTCTTCTAGCATGACGGTTCCCCTTGTAGTGGGCTTCTGCCTGACTCTGAAATGAACACACAGACTACATTCTATAAGCGCATCTTTCATAATCCACAAGGGGTTACACACAAACAGGCAGAGTTACAAATTTTTTAAAGCTCAAGACACAGGCCATATTTGACATTTGGTATTGGATGTCATGTCCAGGAGACTTAAAATGGGCTTATACCTACATGCTTGTCCCAGGACACTGATGCCACATGGCATCTATTTCCTGTGACTGTGACACTATGTTAATGTGCCTGCTTTTATTTGTGCAAAAGCAAAAATAAATAAATAAATAAAATAAAATGTTATTTAATTTGTATATAAAATAGTTGACATAATATAAATGTGGTTATTATTATAGCTATATTATTATATATGCATATATTATTATAGTTATATTATTATATATGTATATTATTATAGATGTAATTATTGTTATTTATAATACTTTTTTATTAATAATTTATTTCAAAATTATTTTAATACAAATTTATGATCATTTTACATAATGTACAGTTTTATTATTATGTACAACTTTAAGTTACTGTAATAGTAAGTTATTTTTATATTATTTTAATAAAAAAAATTAATAATATATAATAATAATTATTATTATGATAAATTACATAACATTTTTATAACATCAGACATGACAATGAATATGAGGTCTTTTTTCATGATTTTACTATTAACAAGTGGATGCTGCACACTGGTGGTGGTTGAGGAGAGACCCCCCCCACATGATTGTTAAGCACTTTGGGTGTACAACAATACACAATAAAGCGCTATATAAATGCATCATTCATTCATTCATTCATTCATTCATCATTCATTCAACACTGTCAAGAAGAAGAGACACAACTGAAAATGTGTCCATTGTTAAGTGAAAGGATATATTTAGCCATATCAGTGGTCAGTGCATAAACAGCACAAAACCAATGGAAACAGCTGACCACTGTGAAAGCTCTAATCTGCACAAACAATCCCACTTCTCTGATGTGGCACAATCTAGTCCACTCATCGATCATGCTGACTTGACCTCTAGCAGGAACACACAAAGAGATATTTCCAGACACATTCACACAGGAGCTGTCGCCTGTAGTCTGCATCCTTGTTACAGGACAACACGTATCTGACGTGCCTCCCAGCAGCACGCTTCAAACAGATCACCAGAGCAGCGGGCTCCCAAAACAGCGATGGCTTCAGAATGCATCCCATCAAGACAAACGATGATGATTATTAAGTGGCTGGATTATCTGTTGTGTGAAACCGAGAATGAGTTGACAACAGTTGCTGCAGACACTGGGAGCAGGACCAAGAGACTCATACCAGAGTGTCATCCAGGGCTCAGACACTCACAACATTAGAAGAGGCATGGAACCCCCGCAGAGACTCATGGGAACAGAAAAGATATTAAGACAGCTAGGACAGGCCCTCAGAGACAGTTAGGGTACACTTGCAGTGAGGGAATGGCATTAGGTTGGCCCTTCCTGTCTGTTGTGGCAGGTTGTGGGCTGTAATTGGTGATGACAGAGCCTTATATAGCTGGTGGTCTGTAATCGAAGCCTTCAGGGGTTTGAAGGAGCTGCCTGTCTAAAGCACACAGGAAACTGAGGAAGATGTGGGAAGGAAGCACTAAAAGAGCACAGATCCCTGGGATTAAGGAGGAAAGAGGAGAAGATAGCGATGTGGCTCTGGCAGAAACCAACAGCAAGCTCAGTGGATATGGGGCTAAAGCACAGGTGGAGACAGAGATCACACAGACAAAAATGAATGTAAAACAACATATATGAGTTTAGGAATGTAAAACTGATCAGACTTCACTCTTAAAAATAAAGGTGCTTCAAAAGGTTCTTCAAGCGATGCCATAGAAGAACCATTTTTGGTTCCACAAAGAACCATTCAGTCAAAGGTTCTTTAAAGAACCACCTCTTTCTTACCTTTTTGTAATCTGAAGAACCTTATTTCGCCACAAAGAACCTTTTGTGAAACAGAAAGGTTCTTCAGATGTTAAAGGTTCTTTATAGAACCATTTAGACAAAAAGGTTCTTCTATGGCATCGTGAAGCACCTTTATTTTTAAGAGTGTTGCAGAAGAGTGAAGAAAAATGCAGAAAAAAATCCACATCAACATCCAAGAACAAATGAGAAACACAGTTCATGCCATTGCCATGTGCAAGCAACAGACTCAAACAGTCTAGGGTGGTAATCACAACCATGAGTTACAGCAGTGGTTCTCAACCCGCGGCCCGTCACAAATTCAAATGCGGCCCACCGTGCCAGAAATGTCAATACTGGAGATTCCAAATATTTTTTTAACAGTCTGTGACTAGGAATGAGAATCGTAAAGAATTTAACTCTTTCGGTTCTGGTTCTAATTCCTCTGAATAATTTCGGTTCCACTAATGATTGTAAGTACTTGTAAGGACTAAATATTTGTTAATAATATGTAGCGTCTGGACCAATCAAACACACAATTTTTCATTTGATTTAACAAATCAGTTATTCATTAGATTAACAAATCGTCACAGTCATAAGAGCTAAATTAATTTTAAAAAGTAATAAAAAATATATATATATATTGAAAAATGCATTTATACAGTTGTTATAAATGCAATCAAATAATTAGCTTTAAATGTATATTAAACAAAAATACTAAACAAAAACTCATTATCTGCATCTTTATACACCAAACAGAAATTATACTGATTTCTCACAGTTAGTTGTGAGCTGCATTTTTTTGATTCTGCAAGTTAAAAAGAGCATGCTCATAATAGTTGTTTGTTCGGGAGTCAGACTATATTGGTTGTGTTTCCTGTTTTTGATTCGCTAAAAAGAACGGGCTCAAAAAAGTTATTTCACGAGTCAGACTACACTGGTTGCACTGCATATTTTTAATTCACTACAAAGCAAAAGTTCGTAGGAGTCTTTCATTCAGCAGTCAGACTACACTCATGCTATTTCACAAGTATATTCACTAGTGTCGTTGCGTCACCACTGAATAGTAGTACAGTTCTCTGCCAGAGTATTTTAGTACAGTGATCCTTCACAGTGGCGGAAGAATGAATGTGCATGAACAGTTCATTGAACTGAGTGTTATTCAGTTCCGATATTTTAAAAAGTTTGCGATAGCCTGTCTGATAAAATGACACTATCATCCATACATACTTGTTTTAACAACCAGTTTGTAGCTAAGCTGTTTTAGCCAGTTCTTAACTCTAATTCAATAAGATAAGCAGACCACTTTTAGCAATCCAAACCCAATTTTCACGTTTTAACTCTTTGAACCCACATACAGGATTCATTGAAATTCTCAGTGAATGCTTTCTTAATGAAGTGTCTTACAAGAGAGGGGATACGTTATGTGTAAAGAATACCTCAGCCATTAGATATGAATACAAATCAAGTACCAAGCCAAATCAATGATGTGTCAATGAGAATGAAGTGCTCTTATGAAAGCAGCGCTATCTATAAAATAAGGAAATGAGGAAAGTTCTCGCCCAGATGGCACAGGGTTTTACATAAGACAGATGAGTTGGTTTTGAGAGCACAAGAAAAATACTTTAAGCACACCGATGGAAAACAGGGAGAACAGAAAGAACTTTTCCAAGGACAAATTAGGATGCAGATTGTCCCAGTCTCACCAAACCACATGTGAACGGTAAGTAACATCAAATACGCCAAAAAAAATACAATTACAACAACAAAATAGGAAAGGGCTGCATAATGAGGATTGACAGCTGTGGCTATTCCCAAAGCTCAACACGCACATGGAAGGTTAATTTGCCCTAGTGATGGAAAACCAGTCAGTGAATGACAGAAATTGTACGACAGCGGCGGGCAGGGGAGGGACGTGGAGTCAACCCTGTCCTGCAGCCACAGTGACACAATATGGTGACATCACTTCTGCAGCGTGGCAAGGTTATACCTCCATCTTGCGCTAGAGTGAAAGGGACAGAGGGACACTGGCAGCACAGCATACAACGCTGAGCCCCTAGTTTGATGAATGCATCAGATAACACTCGCTGGCAGCCAATAGTCTGCTTTTTCCACCACAAATGTCCTCAGATATCGGCACTGGGGGTTAGGAATCTATGAATCCATAATGGAGCGTGAAATGATAATGGGAAGGAGGCGAGGGAATAGATATTTTCAAGGAACAAAAGCATTGCTTTATTTAGCATATAGCAGAGGAAGACAATTAGACCCATTGTTCTGTGTAACCATTTAATGAAATATGGCATTGTATAATTTAATCTCTTAACGTAGCTGAATCACTTCCAGTGCAGCAATGCATGAAAGAAGCAGCACAATTTCTAGTACAACATCAGAACTCGCAGTAATTTTCTTTGATCTCTATGTCTTTTGCACGCTGCTGATTTGACGACGTGAATTGATGCCTGACAACTTTAAAAATAAACAAGACTTTAAATTGTTAGGACAATGAATGTGTGAGTTTGTATGTGGGATGATGATTGTGTGTATGTGGCACTTTTCACAGATACAATAAACTTTTTTTTTTTTTAAAGAAAAACATTCAAGGCACAAATGACATGCATTTTTATGTTGTTACATATACAGGTGCATCTCAATAAATTAGAATGTCGTGGAAAAGTTCATTTATTTCAGTAATTCAACTCAAATTGTGAAACTCGTGTATTAAATAAATTTAATCGAATTTAATGAAATTTCACATCAAATCTTAACCTCAGAATTACCCCCAAAAGATTATTTAAAGCCCTTATTGTGTTAAATAAATAAACAAACATACATTACAAAAAGTAGATTTAGAAAGAAATATTTTGGTTCAACAGAGAATTTATTACATGGAACAACATCAGCCATGATGAATTGGTATTTAGATATATTTATAGACTGTTTATTGCAGCTCAGAAGTGGCGTGAATGCAGTTACAATTGCATAAATAATGCCATGAGAATAATGGGTTTTAAATAGACATTAAAGGAATAGTTCACCCAAAATGTAAATTCTGTCATCATTTACCCACCCTCAAGTTGTTTTAAATCTGCATGACTTACTTTCTTCTGTGGAACATAACAGAAGATAATTTGAGAAATGTCTTTTGTTTTTGTTTAGTTTTTTTGTTCATACAATGTAAGTCAGTGGTAACCAAAACAGTTGGGTTACCAACATTCTTCAAAACATCTTGCATTTTCCTCAAAAGAACGAAAGTAATACAGGTTTGAAGCGACATGAGATTCTAATGAGTAAATGATGACAACATTTTCAATTAAACAAACAAACAAAGAGAAAGAAAAAGCAGCCCCCATATCCTACCCTTTTCATGGAAAGAGGTGCGTGCTTAAATTTGTGTATAGTTAAATGCAATGATGGCAAGCAGAGACATTGTAAAAACGGGTGTTGAAAGTATATGAATATCTTTTATAAACCAGGACAGCTGAAGGTGTCAGAGATGTCCAATCAGCAGTCAAGCACTTAAGGTTTATTGAACAACATGCATCATTATTTACAAGCACGCTTGTGTATGTCAAGCTCGTTTGACTTGAGGGTCATGAACTGGGTTGTAAACTAAAGACATGTTTGGATGGTACTTTGGGATGTGGAATTTATAGCTGATAGTACAAAATTTCAATCTAATCTTCTCCTCCATGAAATATCACCTCCCTTGAACTAACTACAACTCTTAAGTCCAATTGTTTCACAGAATTGCTGAGTTGTCTCAAATTCTCTCCCCGTAAATCATTAAAAGCGAGCTGGGCTAACAGCTAAGGTCTCCACAGGCAGGCTTGGTTTCTCCATGTTCTCCCTGTCTTTCATTGTTTGTGGCTGTGGTTTGAAGAAGGCCATACATCTGCTCGACTGGAGGGCTGAGATTACAGGCTCACACCAAGAAAGCCACTTTCTGCCCATGATTATAGTTCTCATCCGTAAAAATAGAGCAGGCTAGTGGGGCACTCCCAGGTCCTGCTCTGTTACTAATCTCACACATGTCACAATGTCTGCCACAGCTGCAACCGAATTCAGCCCAGAATATTTCAGGCTAAAGTTTCTCCCCCAACAAGCGTAGCAGCAATTTGGTGCATAAACAACTAACATAATTGCTTTCATTGATGCGCAAAGAATATTGGAATGTCAAAATGCACGATACGGATCTTGCAATAAATGACTGTGGCAAGTCTGAAATGGAAAAGTTGAACTTTGTTTTCGTAGGAAGTTCTTGCTTGTGGAAACATCTTAATTAAGACTATGTTGAGAGAGATTTTCTTAAAACTCATTTTAAACGTCGAAAGAAAGGAAAAAAACACTTCATGCTGTAAGCTTGCACTCTTGACATGCTTTGCGGACACGGTACTTGAAAGAGGATTTGCCATTGGCTATTTCCGGGCTAGAAAGCAGAGTGTGCAAAATATCTCAGCAGTATAAACATAACTCTCATATTACATATAAACTCACTCGAAGAACACTATATATGATTTCATGTCTTCAATAAAACAAGCCATTTGAGCAAGACACCAAACATGCATGAAGTCAAACAGTCCAATATCAGATACCTTACCTCAGAGTTGAATCGGATCTGGCAGACATTACAGGAAATGATTGGCCGTTTGGTCTTCACCAGTGGGACTCCAAAGGTGTGGTTGATCACTGCCTTCTGAACAGGATCCATCTGAATACAGAACAGGAGAAAGAGAAAGAATGAAAGGGAAAAGAGAAAGGACATGTGAAACTAAACTCTGGTCTGACTCCCATTAGACAGACGAGGTCGTTAATCATGTTGATGGAAAGGTCTAGGTGGCAGTACAGTGGCAGTAGAACATGGCAAAGGACGGCCATATGGTTTTAAAGAGTCAGGACACCTGTGAGATCAAGTCAGTATGAGCAGCGAATCTCCTGCACAAATGTTGTCCATCCCTGTATTCAGTTACAAAATATCAATGCTTTAGCTAATAATCAAAGATAACCTAATTACTCACTTACCTTTAAGGAGGTCATACTTCTAAACAAGCATGTAGACTGCATAACAAAACATTCCTGAATAGAATCTACAGGATATAGGCCTAAGATCGTGAAATGATATTATGATAATTTCTAATTTTTATTTTATATATATATATATATATTTATATCTACAGTATATGGATTAAATCTAACTAAATATAATTATAAATATAATGATAATTAAAATATAATTAAATAAAACGTCATTATTAGAAAATATATGGGTAACACTATAAAATAAGGTCCCTTTAGCTGACATTATTTAATGCATAAATAACATTAAGTAACAATGAGCAATGCATTTGTTACAGTATTTTAATAGTAGTTAATAAATGTTAGCTCAGGTCTATTAAACAGATACACCTTTATTCATGTGTTTTTTTTAAAGGGTCCAAGTATGCTCTTTTACAAAGTCTTGATTTTGTTTTGGGGGTGTACTAGAACAGGCTCTCATACTAGGTTGTTCGAAAAACACATTATTTTTCACATATTTTACATTATTACAACACATCTCTCCCCAGTCTGGCATGAACGGCTAGAATAGTTCCTAACTAAAGTTGAAAAAGTGAAAAAGCACAATAGGACCCCTTTAAATAATTACTAATTCTAATAATATTATTACTTAAACATTATTTAAACAATTATTCATGCCACATACTGTACATATTATATTGTATATGTACATAATACAAACACACACACACACACACACGTTATCCTTTATAAAGTGTTTCTATTAAATCAGTGTCCACTATGTAAGAGGTCAGATTTTAAAATAAATTTAACTGGCTATCCTGAGTACCACATCCCATAGCGCCAATGGCTAAGCCTCCGTTTACGACCAGATTAATGCACAAAGCCTGATGATCGCAGTCCAAAAATCTTTTGGTTTTGTGGTCTGCATTCACTGCTCTATTGTCATATGATTCTTACCATTATTATTCGCTTGATATAGTTTAATTTCATTTGAACATTTTGACCTAACATTTTATACAATATGATTCAGCTAATCTCCATGCATTTACAACAAATTCATCAACACTGTCTTTCTGACAAACTTGACTATATATATATTTTTTTTTTTTGGACTAATGAAGTGGAAATAACTGTGATAAATGATTTGAATTACAGATAGTTACAGAAAGAAAATGTTTAACCTTTCAAAAAAATCTATAATGGTTGTGATTTTATTCCAACTTCTAAGAACAATAGTCTAAGACGGGCCAGTATGGAATATCTTCTCTTGGCTGGAAAAGACGGGGAGAGGCTGAAATGAATAACCTCTTAGTCAAACAAAAACATTTGTTAAATCTGCAAACGGATTGTATCCAGGCAACCCCCAACCCCAGTAGAAGCAAACAGAAAGAGAGCCGAGACATGGTTCGGGCTGACAGCAAACACCATTTGTGCTGCACACACCGGACTTCCTCAGATTTTTTCCTCTTATCTCTTTTGGCTTGGGCCCGAAAACTTGTTTCTGTTCTGCGCTGCAGTAACCATCGAGCGCCCTGATGCCGTTGTCCATGTGCAAAGTCCACACTACATCAGTCAGACAGGCACTGGATTAGCCTCAATGATGTTGTTCTATGGCTTTGCCTTCAGGAATCTCCAGAGGATTAAGTGAAGCTGGCAGTTAGCTGGGTAATCAGAACACCTCCAGCTAGAACACATCAATAGATACAACTGTCAGTACTAACAGCCTCAGCGATGAAACGGACCAGGGAGGTGCTCCGACAGGCTGCACGGGGAAAAAAAATCAAAGCTCTGTGAAGGCCTCTCATAAGAAAAAGATTACTTTTAAAAGCTGTCTTTTTTTAAAAGTCTGCAGGCTGTATTTTAACTCAGAACGCCCTTCTAATCAAGATTTAATAGCATACAGAAGTTAACATGCATCAATCGACCAAAATCCTGGGTGTTGGTCCATCATGCTTCACATCTTGAAGTAAAAATAGCACTGCATTGAAGTGGTCTTCTGCTGGTGGTGATTTATTCCTCCGACTTTCTCAGACTAGAGACATCTTGGCTCATGACTATCCCAAGAAATTTCCTTCAACGCAAATGATGGTATGATACAGTTTATGATGGTGCTACAAGAATCTAAAGAAACCACCAAACCACAGCTGAAAGACGCCTTAAAGGCATAGCTCACCCGAAAATGTAAATCACTTTCAATGTAAGTCAGTGGAGTCTAAAACAACATTGGACTCCACTGACTTACATTGTATGGAAAACAAAAAATATGTTATATGAAATATATATTATTTTATGTTCCACATAAGAAATAAAGCCTATCCCTTTAAAGGCCAGTATGTGAAATACTGCTTGTTTTATCAATGCCGCTCTAACAAGCTGTTTTTATGGTATTGGCAGACACTGAATCTATGCTAATTATCAAAGTGAGCAATTAACAGTGCATGTTACATTTATCCATTTGGAAAGCAGTGTCTGTCATATGACCTCCCGATGCTCCCTCTGGAAAACCACATCCCACAGACTGTTAACTGTTCAAAAATAGCCAGATTCTTCTCACTGTAAAAACACAGACCTTTTAATGACCCCGTAAAGGAATAGTTTATGCAGAATTAAAATTCTGCCATCATTTACTCACCCTCATGTGCTTCCAACCCTTTATGATTTTATTTTGTCTGTGGAACATACCGTAAAGTAGTGTTTTTTATACAATGAAAGTCCATTGTATGAAACATTCTTCAAAATATCTTCTTTTGTATTCTGCCAAACAAATAAAGTCATACCAGTTTGAAACGAGTAAATAATTGTGGGTGAACTATCCTTTTAAAGGAAATATGCCCATACAACAGTGTCATAATGTAATTTGGATTAAAAAAAAATGGGCCAACCTAATTCCCAAGAGTCTCCCTTTACTTTCAATACAAGATCACATATAATTTTATACAAACCATGGAGTGTTTCAGTATGCTGAAAACTGCAAGCCCAAAATGCACTGCGTTCAATGTACCCAGTTTTGTTATGTCTCTGCCTGAGCTAGCTGGAGGGCACTCACCTTCATATCCTCAGAAGCGCTTGGATCTCGCAGCTGCATTGGATCCTCCGTGAGGGAGCTCGTGTTTGTGTGTGGGAGGGTGTGTGTGAGAGTGTCACTCATCCAGAAGGGATCTTAGCTGTCCCACCACACCACCTGATTCTCCCACATTCACACACTTCTGGGCCCCCTTCTGGGGACGTCAATGAGCGATTCTTGCATTTGCAGGTCCAGGATATGATTAATTGATGTCTCTCTTCCTAGTTTTGCTTCTTCTTTTCCACAGTCGGTCGTCACTCTTGCCGTTATGGTTTGGTTTCTCGTTCTCCATTGTTTAATCTCATTCACCTTCTTTCCATTCCTCCCTCCATCCTTCCTAACACTTCACAGCAAGCCAAGACTACGTTCCTGGTTTGCTCTCTCTTCATTTTCCTCTGCCTCTTACTTGCTTCTCTTTCCTTTCCTTCCCATTTTACTACAAAAATTATTTCTGTCGTCCTTTCCTGTGCTCTCTTTCAATGATCTCCTTCCTCTTTCTGTTCTACATGCTCACTCGCTGACTGCTCATTTTGCCCAGATGCACTAAGAATGTCATGCACTCCCTCCGTTTTTTCCCCCTTTCTCACTCCCCAAATCACCCTCCACTCCCTCATTCTATCAAAAGCACAAGCTGCAGAATTCAGCCCTCCTCCGGCTCCCCCGTCATGACGGTCCTCTCGCTCTTGCCACATATATCTAAAACACATGTGGCTCCAATGCAGCGGTGACCCAGGCTCAATTAATAAAACTTCTAAAAATATTTGAACTCATAATGCCTTGTGATTGATATCTTCCAGCTATTAAGGTCGGAAATTACAGTTTTTCGAGGGGTCATCAGAGGTAAAATGCATGCAGCCAAAAGATTTCAACTCCAAAAGTCCACGTGGAAAATTGGCAAGCTGTGAGCATAAACGTCGCCTTTTGCGAGTGAAAGAAAGCAAGGCTTTTTTCGAAAGTGGCTGCAGGTGAGTTGCAACAAGTTGGTGCACGAGCCGCCCGATTTAACGCCTCCGAAATTCCTGATTCTGCAGAATAAGCGAGTGTCTGGGGAAGGTTTTCTGCACTTCCACGCTACAACCAGCTGCTTGGTATAAATTATTTAGGTGCCTCAGTGCCTGCAGGCGCATTGCCTCAGACAGGCAGGTAGAAGCCAAATCACATTAAAGACAAATTACAGGTGGACTGTGGAGGAATGGAAGGTTGTGGTCAGCCCCGGCTCTATCTACAGCTGATCAAAGCATCTGATATTGGTGAAATTTACACAGCAAAATAATTATTTGGCCAAGCCCACAAATTTTTGATAACAGCTTTGATCAGGCCATTGCATTCCAACATGAATGCGATTCCAGACGGAACAACTTGAGCAGAGCTGACGTATTGCATGTTTATAAACTGTGCTGGGGAAGCTACTTTGAAACTGTAGCTTGCCAAGCAAAGCTAATCATAATTTTAATGAATTTAAAAAGTAGTTTATAACAAACCACAAACAAGAAGTAGTAAAAAGTAGCTACATTAAAGTTACATAAGGGGTAATATGTTTTTATAAATAAATCAAATTTAACTCTAAATAAAAAGATTAATTATCCAAGAATATAATTTATAATTCAATCAGAACTGTATATTTGCTGCCACAAAAAACAATAATTGGTTTGAATGAACAAACAATACAGGGACTTGAATCAGTGAATCATTTTATGAATCTGTTGATTTAATTAATCTATTCGACCTAACAGATTCATTACAATGAATCGCATTTTCCAGTGCTACATATGACAGAGAGAACTTCTTGGGATGAACTGATTCAGTAGACTCAATCATACTTTCAAACACAACAGGGAGAGGACTGTTTAGAACGAACAATTCACTAGAATTAATTGGACTTTCAAACAACAGTATATATGAAAGAGTACATTTGATTATTATCATAAGTTCTAATTTAATTGATTAAAATTCTGCTAAATTAATAAATAGCAATAAAAATAAAACATTTTATATTATTTATTTAATTTATGCACTTGGCAGACGTTATATAAAAAAATTTAAAAATGTATTATAAAACAAATAAATATAAATGTAAATTGAAGCTAGGGTTCCGTTCTGTGTATGCTCATCCCTAATTTTAAATCAAATCATATTCAAATGTCAAAACATGTACTTTATTAAATCACACAACTGATGACTGTTTAATACCTCAGTAGAAGCCTATATATATTACAACATGTGTAAGGGAATTCTTGTAAATGTCAGCATTCCATTAGGCCATGGCGTAAACACTGCAGTGTCCTAGAGAGAGGTCAGCCTGTCCTTCCAGCCTCTCCAACATCGCCCCCTACTGGGCATCAGGAGAATTTCCCCATCGGACATCCGGTCACTCTCACATTGAGTCTTTAACCGTTGTTATTAATAGCCTGCTGCAATGCTAAAACTGCTTCAATCTAAAGATTACCGCTCAGTGTCTGAATATATAATAAATGGCGTTAAGTACAAGAGACAGTAGTTAAGCTCTTAGATTCTGACTCTTTCACGAGCTCATGCATATTTCTAAATATTTAAACATCCCTTGTCTTTTACTAAAAAGATAATAATGTGGCAGAATTGGAAGGCAATGTGTGATGTGGATTTATTGAGCTGGCATGGGGAGAGTGTTTTTTCCTTCTCAGTGTTACGAGACTGTGCCAAAGGGCAGGCCATCTTTCACACTGGCAACAAGTGCAGGCAAATACAGGGAATTTTAGGAGAGAGAATACATACAACAGACAGTTCAGACATGGCTGGATCCCACGACTAACCTTTCCCATTCAATTTGCTGACCAGCATCCTCATTTACATAACAGAATGCAATCTGGGAAATGCGCAGAACAGTCTCGGAGTAAAAGTGCTGAGAGAGTGAAACGACCTGCATGCTAATCAAAATGATTAGCTATAAGTCACGATGACATGAAAGAACTCATACAGTATTACACTGTTCGACAGACAGCAGTCAGGCAAATTTCAATATACAAACAAGCCAGCTATAATATTTAAGGTTATCTTTACATAATCAGATCCCTACTTGAAAGTAATGATGAGAATGCATTAATGTATTACAATGTAATAATACATCAGATCTGAATGGTGGAGGGGAATATTTCCAGGAAATATTGACTTAAAGGAATAGTGCACATAAAATTAAATTGTCATCATTTACTCACCATCAAGTTGTTCAAAACATGTATGGCTTTATTTTTTTTCTGTGAAACAAATTATATTTTGTAGAATGTTGGTAGCCAAAATGTTTTGGTGACCATTGACTTTCATTGTACAGATAAAAACATTTCTCAAAATAACAAAATAACATTTATGTTCCAGAGAAGAAAGAAAATCATAGAGGTTTGGAATGGCATAAGGGTGATTAAAATGACAGAATATAAATTTTTGGCTAAACTATCCCTTTAAATATGGCTTTAGTAAACTTTATGGTATTTTTTATGTGCTTTAAATAGCTTGACAGTTACAATCATCATCCTCACATCCCTCACTGCCACCCCTTTTGTGTTCCACAGAAGAAAAAACAATAATAACAACAAGGATATGGAATTACATGAAATTGTTTACATTTTTGTTTGCTTTTAATATTATAATTTTTATTTATTCAATTATATCTGAATATTTAAAAGCCATTTCCTTTGTTATGATTGGTTTAAAAGTTTGAGGTCAGAAAGATTTTTTAATGTTTTTAAAAGAAGTCTCTTCTGCCCAGCAACGCTACAATTATCTGACCAAAAATACAGTAGTAATATTGTGAAAATTATTACATTTTAAAACAACTGTTTTCCATTTTAAAAAGTTACTTATTCCTGTGATGGCAAAGCTGAATTTTCAGCATCATTACTTCAGTTTTTAGTGTCACATGATCCTTGAGAAATCATTCTAATATGATGATTTTGTGCTCAAGAAATATTTCTTATTACTATCAATGTTGAAAACAGTTGTGCTGATTAATATTTTGGTGTAAACTATGATGTGTTTTTTTTAGCATTCTTTGATGAATAGAAAGTTCAAAAGCATGTATTTAAGATAGAAATAAAAATAATTTGATCAGTTTAATGTGTCCTTGCTGAATGAAAGTATCAGTAAAAAAACGGTAGTGTATTTGTCCAAGTGTATTTGTTACAGAATTGACCAGAAATAATGAAACAATGTGGGCCTTGGACAAGTTAATTTGATCTGGTAATTCAAGATAATTTATGTGTAACTTTTCATATTCTGTTACTGTATTTATTTTAACTGACAAACTTTCCAATAATGTTGTGACATACTGTAGGCAATGACCTTTATAGACACCGTGTCTTATCTAAAGCAAGTGGCTTGAGGTGACCCAACAACACTTTCCATATAGCATAATTTGTTCTTTTTTCAGAGTAATGCAATAATGCAGCACTGTTAACAGAGGTTTTCAGTGGCCTAATCTCACCGTGTTGAAGTTGTGGAAGAGCCCAACACTGTGTGGATGAGGAGTCTCCATTGAAAACTGTAGGAAGGGCTTCATATCCAGATGAGGCTGGATGACTGTGGGGGTCCGCAGAAATGTAGGGACAGCCCCTGTTCGGTTGATGCTTCCTGCAGAGACAAGAAAAAATGAAGTTTAAAAAGCCGAATGCACTAATTCTTACTTAAAACTTTCCAAATGAGCTTAGAATCCTGTCACCGGGTTAAATTTGTAACATCAAGCCTGAATAAAGCGCCTTTGCTCAAATTCTGACTTTCATGCTTAACAGAGGTGAAACATGGAGGTGGCTGTGCTGACACATTTTTTGTCAGCACAAAACTCATCAGAGAGATGTCAACCTTTGGTTATGAAACAGCCCCCTCTATCTCTCGCTCTCACTTTCTGCCTCCCAATCCACGTCACCGAGTCTCTGTTCCCTGGCAGCCTGTCTTCTCTTATCCTTTACAGCCCGCGCAGCCTCTTGCATGAGACAGTGCGAGGACCCTCTCATCAGAATTAAGCTTTAGCGAGCAGTTACTTTAAGCTGCTTAATTCCTGCTGCTGGATTTTCCTTGCCTCAAATTCCCTGCAGTCTTAAATCTGTTCCCTTCTATCTCTCTTCCTCTTCCTCTTGCTGCCCGTCTCCTTTTTAATCTTGGATGATTTTTCGCCCTTCTCCGCTTCTATTTCAAGATTGCTCATCAAGCCTCTACTCTCTCCTGATTTCTCCAGCTCTTCCAAGCGCAGTTGAGATGGTTTCCTGACGTAGGAGACGTCATGAGGTCGTGCTGCAGTTGGGGCTGCTGTGGGCACACATGTCAGGATGCGCGGGGAGAAAGAATGAAAGAGAAATAGATATTGAGAGATATGCAGTTTCAGCCTGGCTACAGCTGTTCCTCCTGCTCTCCTGCTGCAGCCTCAGGCCTGGATGAGCCCTGGCATCATTAACTCAAATTAGGCATGCAAGTCTCCTCACTGGCTGCACAGCACACAGGGAGATAAAGAGCGAGGGAGAGAAGGAGAACAGCAAGAATAAGGAGGCAGACTGGTTGCAAGATTGCTGGTGAGAAAGTGTGAGAGAGAGAGGGAGAAAGTGCCAGTGGTCGCTTGTGGGCACTGCTGGTCCCTGATGCAATGCTCAACAACTGTCACATGACTCACACTCTAAATACTCCCTTTTGCTGCAAACAGTTCTTTTCAAAAGTGCCGCAGTGTGCCTTAAAGAGACAGTTCACCTAAAAATGAAAAATGTGCAATTTACTCATCCTCAGATGTTGTTATTTGT